GCTCTTCACAGCGACAGAAATTCCAGCTAAGACACCTAGCTACCCATTCATGGTTGGCAAAGGTAAGAAAAGCAAACCACGACTGGATCGTTACAACTTTCATCCCATGGCATCTCAGATATCTTGTGGGAGCAGAGAAATGCAGGCCTATTCCTCGCCATTGTCTGGTGGTCAGAGAATTTGAGATACTAGCACATGCAGTTTGCACCTTCCAACACAGGAGACGGTTGCCTGGCTTTTTTGAAGGTAAGTAAACAGGTGGTCAGGATATGCCAGTGTAATTCTGCTCCTTCCATTGTAACTGTGAGGTCACCTGGGGAGGAGGTGTTTTCTGCCTATGTGAACAAGTGTGCATTGAGTAACCATGATTGAGCCACCCCGCTACCTAGCAACAGAATGTTAAGGAAGCCTTTTGTTACCTGCTCCCCCAGTTTACATCTTGTATAAAAGCTGTGGAAAATTAAACGCGGGTGATTTTTTGGGATCTGAATAATCCCTGAAACTCCTTCCTATACTGCCTTATGTTTTCAGTCTTATTATTTTTATGTGTCTTCATATCTCTTCATATCTTTCACTTATATTTCTTCAATTTCCATGCCTCCACCCTAGCAAGAAGTGCTTTTTTGTTGTTGTTGTTGTTATTGACGCTGGTCTTCAACAATATCCAAAGTTATTTATTTATCATTTCTAATGTTCCTCTTGGCCAAGATAATGCTAAAATGTTTCCAGATACTCTTCACAAATCTAGGTGACTGACTCCATGAGCCTAGGGAAACACCCAACCCCAGTGTCTATGCAGGTTCTTTACAGAACTGGTGGGATAGCAGAGCTCTCTGAGAGTGGAACTGGGTTATGTGGAAAAGATAGAGGAACAGCCAGGGTTTGGGCAATGGGGTATCCATGCTTCTTGGCAATGTATATCATCTTCAGTCCATGAGAGATTTGCTCTTTGGATGTTGTTTCTCACTCTGTCACTGATCACATTCAGGGAAGCTCACCTGCTGCTCTTGAGCTTCTCCTAGAATACCTGGTACTCTCGCTCTGCCTTCGGGTACGTTCTGTCTTCCTGTGCCCTTCTCATTGGGGTGGCTTCTTTCTCAAAGCTACAGAGTTGAGGGTTATTATTTTGTTTTGTCAAGAAGCAATCTCTTTTTGACTTGAGGACATGGTATTGCATAGATTGTTTTCTGATTTTTTTTAAGTATGTATTTTATTTTAGGGAAAAAAACCTATGTCTTCACCAAATGTCATGATGATACACCAAGGAATCAAGGTCTTGAGGACATAATGGGGCTGGTGCCCATATGCGCTCACAGAATCTGTGGCAGCATGCACAGGATGTGCACTTTTTATTTAATGAACTCAATAGCATCATTGGACGTTCTGCATCTCATTATGGTAAGCTGGAAATTTTTGTTTCTTTATAAGCTTATAAGTCCTTTTTATAGATATTATGGCTTCTGGTTTTGTATTTTTATAGGATTCCTGTATATGTGAACATGTGTGTCTCTGCCTCTAAGTGTGTTTCTTGTGGTTTTTTTTTTTTTTTTGACTCTTTTTCCTGTTTGGGTGTCTTTGTCTTACTCTGGCTTGTTTGTTTTTATCTTATTTTGTTATTAGAAGTTTGTTTGTTTTCTAAGAGAGACAGAAATGGTGTGAATCTGGATGGGAGGGGTCATGGAGCAGAACTTAGAATGGGGAAAACATAACCAGAATATATTGCACAAAAAATCTACTTTAATTAAAAAAACATATTTACCAAATGCCACGATGGATACTGTGTTGTGAAATAATCTTTTTGGTACACTGTGAAGATGTGTCACTCTGGTTGGTTTAATAAAAAGATGAATGGCCAATAGCTAGGCAGGACTTCTAGGCAGAGAGGACATTGGGGAAGGAGGTGGAGATGCCAGGAGATGTAGAGCACGCAGGATGGGAAGTATGGAGATGACGTAATAAAGCCACGAGACAGAAAGTAAATTGGGTTAATTAGGGTTATAAGAGCTAGTTATAAATGAGCCTAAGATAAGGCTGAGCTTTCATAATATTTAGTCTCCATGTCATTACTGGGGAGCTGAAAGTCCCAACAAAAAAATTCAACTATAAAACTGAAAGTCATTTTCCAAATGTGATCATTGAGTTAGCTGCCATAAGGTTGTGGAAGCACTGTCGGTCACTCAAAAGAATCTCAGCTTGGTAGAACCTCAGAGTGCTCCCAAGAAAGCTCTAGCAATGGAAACAGATGACACACTGACTCAAACATCAAATAACAATCAGGGGATGGAAGAAAAGCAATAGTCACATTGATAAGCAAGAAACACAAGCAGGTGAAGAAGTCACTGGCTCTTTAAAGCAGGGGCATGTGCCCCTTTCTTTGGCATTTGTCCTAGGAGGGAGAGGATTTGTTGGTACCACAGTTCAAGTCACATCCAGTTCAGCTGCCTGCAGGAGAGTGCAGCTTTCCTCTGGACCCACCTTTTGAGTTAACTTATTCTCAGTGGAGCACCAGAAGTCCTTGGTCAGTAGCCCCTGATCTGTAGCCACACTGTCTACATCTAAACGCTGTTTTTATTTCTGGTGGGACATATGATGAGGGGCAAGCGTGTCACTTGTCTAAGCATTTTTTCCTTCCACGTCAGGAGTAACAGACACTTTGCGTTCTGATGAGAATTCAGTAAAATGAAGCTTACAAATGCTGCACTTGTGTTCTTCACAAAGACAGCATTCCCAGATAGGATCTCCCACGAGGCCTCTAGTTAGCATGTGGGTTCTGGAACTCGGCAGTAGTTACCGTGCCAGGTACACAGTATCCGTGCCAGGTGTAGGAATGTGCCTTCATTGATCCATCTGTCTGAATACCCCGTAGTCTCCCCTGGCAATAGCACGGCTCTGCTCCCTCCTGCTCATACAGCCACACAACACAGATTCCATGGGCTGCACACCTGACTCTGTGGTTTCCCCTGGGACAGCATTCTTGTGGGGATAAATTACAGGATCCACCCACCAGCAGTCTGCTACTGCGGCACAGGGTATGCTTCATTTCAATATCTGGCAGACTGTGAGCTTCAACTCTCAAGTCTCAATGGTCACTGTGAAACTATATTTGCCTAGCTGAAAAAAATCTTTACACTAAATTTACTGTCCACTATTTAGCCAGCCTTATGCATGTGTGGCTACACACCAGCTCAATCCTTTCCCAAATGCTCTGCTCCTCTCCTTTCATTATTTTTTTTTATAAACCTCACCCAAACTTCTCACCATTCACATTTTCTTCATTATAACTTGGAGGTTTTTCCTCTCTCCTTAATGTCAGTTTAAATTTCTACTGGGCAAACAGACTCACTTCTGAGTCATTGAGCCTCCAAAGGTTTCCAAGGTAGATTGCATCCTATAAAGATCACATTTGTGACAATGTAAGGTCATCAATGGCCCTTGTGTCTCATCCTGTGAGCTTCAGGCCTTCACTTTAGAGCAGAAGGATCACAGAAGAATTGGGGGTTTATTTGGGACTAGTAGGACACACAGTGACCCTAGGCCTTAAGAGTTTTAGAAACAGAATCATTTAAACATTCCAAGCTTCCCACATAAACTAACCTAAATGCTTACCTACTAGGCCGAAGCAAAAGAGGTGTGTTTTGGATCACCTCCTCCACCCCTTTGGTGCTAAATTACACTAAAGTAGAAAGAGAAGACCTTGTCCCCATCAGCATTGCCAAGTGGAGAGGGCCCCTCAATGGTCACAAGTCCCAAGACATTCAAGAAAGCACAGAGAAGGTTCTGAAAGACTAGGGATACTGGAACAGATCTAGAGAATAGGTACTCGTGGTGGTGCTAGAAAAAGATAGGGCAATGAAAAGGGAGGGCATTGCAAAAAAGGTGGGGTAATAGAGAGGGGTGGGGTACTGGAAGAGTGGGGTGATGGAAGGAGATGGGGTGGTAGAGGGGCGAGAAGAGGGATGGTGGTGAGGCGATGAAGGCATGGGATGATGGAGGGAGGTGGGGTGATGGAGGGAGGTGGGGTGATGGAGGGAGGTGGGGTGCTGGAGGGAGGTGGGGTGTTTGAGGTATGGGACGTGTGTATGAGGTGTATGAGGTATTGGAGGTTTCAGGAGAGTACCGGGTGGAGATCAGGTACCAGGGACAGCCAGGAAGTAGGAAGAGAGTACTATAGATAGGTATGATATTTTAGTGACGATACAGAAATGGGTTGGAGAAGCTTTGAGTCGTGGGCGTATCTGAACTGCACAGCCAAAGCTTTGTCCACAGCTATGCAGAGAAATCCAGTGGAAACAGCGGCCTCCCTGCTCCTTTAGAGTTATCAAAGAATAACATCAGAAAAATTAAGCCAAGGTATTACAAATATGTACCGCTTTAAACAGCCCACGGTACTTCCGAGGTTTAAATGACCAACTTCATGGTGGAATTGTAAGCTACTGAAAATGCAAACTGTGTGTATTTTTATGGACACTCATATTTCTATTTGCTACATTTGTGAAGGTCTTTTAGTGTCATATAGTCCCAGTCTTCTACACGATAGCAAGTTTTATTTAAAGGCTTTACTTTTATTTTTCCTTGGGTGTATATGTGTGTCTGTGTGTGGGTGTGTGGATGTGAGTAGGGCCTTCAGCAGTCAGAAGAAATCCCACGGAGCAGTAGTTACAGGTGGTTGTGAGCCACTCAACCTAAGTTCTGGGAGCTGAACCTGGGTCCTCTGCAAGAGCAATAAGTACTCTTAGCCACGGAGTCAGCCCTCCAGCCCCTCTGCAAGACTGACTATACACCACAGAATATAAAATACGGCCATGTTTTATTTTTCAGATTAGATAAAAAAGAACCTTCAGATACCCTGAGATCCAGACAGGAACAGGTAACCATAAAGTTGGTCAGATTCACCAAAGTTGTCAGAACCTTAACAACCAGAAGCCCTGGACTTCCCACCTTGTGATCCATTTTCAAGGTTTATTTGAATTATACCACATGGGAACTTACGAGTAGCTTACCCAGACACCTTGTTTCCGATCCACTCCAGAGACCATTGGCCATGCACTCCCGGACATGGGAGCCCACGAGTGTGTAGCCAGTGTTGCAGGTGAAGATGGCGGTGGCTCCGTACACAGTGAGTGTCCCTATCTTGTTACCATTGGGGGGAAAGGACAGGCTTCCACAAGAGATGACTGAAAGAGAAAAACTGTATTAGTCCAAGTCTGGGTTTACAGCAGAAACCACGGGTGCTGGTTTTCATAAGAAGCACAGGGCAAGGAGGTCTGGTTTGCAAGTCAGTTGTCTCTGTCGGATTTTCCTTCTCTATTGCTTTTAACACAAAAGAAGTTCTACCATATTCTGAAGCCACTAAAGTCCCTACAGTGGTTCATTGCTTTTTCATTCTTACAGATTGACAACCCTTTCTTCAACATCCACACTTTGCAATGTAAGGACCCATAAGCATATCTATGAAACATGCTACCTGTCTGCTTTTTCTACCCATATCTATCCTAAGAGTGATGTGATTGTGACGACACATGTGCCTGCTGGGAACACGAGAAGTGTCTTCACCAAAGGCCAACAGCCCAAGCCAAGCATAATAGGTTAAAACTTTTATCTTTATCCTAGCACCAAGGTCATTTTTCTTCCAGTTATTTGTATGAGTTGTTCAATAACAAGCACTGTAAAATTGCTGACTACGCAGGGCACATGGAACCTTCTAGGTAATTATCAATAGTACACACATCCTGTGTGGACACAGGCAGGGTAGTTGTAAATCCTAAGGGTATCCTTGCTGCCCCAGATAATGATGGAGCACAGCTGTTGTGACCCCAAATTAGTTCATTTGGGGAGGTAAATTAATGATCACCCAAAGTAAAAATATTAATCACACCCACATGTTCACATCTCATATGCATAAATATTTGAGGGAAAAAATCCTACTGAATCTCACGGAAAGAGAAAATGTTTCCAAACCTTCAAGGATGATTGAGTACCAGAGGCTCAGAAGTATTTAAACAAGAATGGAAGTCTTAGAAAAGATAACCAAGGAGAACGTTCAGATCACTCAGAAAGCTGTGACATGCTCTGTATTTAAGGCCATGCCAGAAAGCGGCAAAAGAGAGTTCTCATCCCTAGTAAACTGGCAAGAGATGGGGAGAAAAACACCATCATGAAGTAGGTTCATTGCTGAGTTGGTGAGAATGGCCAGTCTACTAACACTCTCTGGTGTCTGATGGGGCTGAGGACAGTGAAAGTCTACGCTGATGGTCATTTAGGGAATGGAGTCAACAGTGTGAATATCATGGCTGTCGGTGTCTTAGTCAATTTTTTCATGACTGCGACATAATACTTTAGAGAAGCAACTTAAAGGAAAGAGCTCGCAATTTCATGGTGGGAAAAGCAGGGTGGTTTAGAGCAGAAGAGACTGCTCCCATGGGTATGTCAGGAGCCTGAGGCTGTGGTGATTTTTATTTGTGCTGTAACAAACAAAGCCTGTCTGAGGATCAGAGTGTGGGGAGAGCCTGTAGTTAGTCTTGGAGGCCAGGCACACTTTTAATCCCCAGCACCTGGGAGGCAGAGACAGAGACAGAGTGATCTCTGTGAGTTCAAGGCCACCCCAGACCACACTAGATTGATTCAGTCTTAAAGAGAAACAGAGCCAGGCAGTAGTGGCTCACACATCTTTAATCCCAGCACTAGGGAGGTGGAAACAGGAAAGGATATGGCTGGGCGGGAAAAGGAACATAAGGTGGAAGGAGACAGGAGCTCAGTGAATTCGGTCTAAAGACTTGTAATGACAGGATACTCCATTCAGTTGAGGACTTTGTAAAGGTAAGAGCTGGTGGTTGGCTGATCTGCTTCTCTCATCTTTCTACTCTTACTCCCTAATATCTTGACTCCGGGTTTTTATTATTAAGACCAATTAGAAACTGCACTACATGAGGCATCTTGCTCACCTCTCCCAGTCAACAAAGAAGCAGAAAGACATGTGAGCCTTCGTGACTCCCCAGTGACCCACTTCCTCCGAAAGGCTCCATCTTCTAAAGGCTATACAACCTCCCAACCAGCTTTACCAGGGAACTCGGTATTCAAATAGAAGTCTGTACGTACATCTCACATTTAAACCACAACATATTGGACCCCACAAGGCCAGCACATTGATGACCTGGACCCCAGTCAGCGATTCCAAGGACTGACGTGTGAGCAGATCATGGGTATTTTGATCTCATCATGGAATGAATCCCCTAACAGATTAAAAGTCAGAATTCACCACTGAGAGGTGACAGAGACCATGGAAATGGAGGTCTAGTTGGAGGGGGTGCTTTAAAAGGCTTGTCAGTAACCAGGACCCTCCTGCTTTCTGGCCACCTCCGGTGAACAACTCTGTTCTCTTCTGCTCAGTCAGGCAGGCTTTGTTACAGTTCAGAAATGAAGAAACACAAGCACCTAAGCCACAGGCCCGCGGGAACTTCTGCAACTGTGACCCATTAGAAACTGTCTCTTTTCTCAATTGCTTCTCTCATCCCGGTCAGGCGGCTCTCCTCTATAGTGCCACCCATCACTTGGGACCCCATGAAGTACCAGCAGGCATGGGCTCCGAGATGAGATCCTGTCTCAGATTAGAAAATGAAAATCAGATCACTTCCAAACCATTTCCTTAGATATTTGTCATGGCGATGAAAAAAAAAATTCTAACACAGAATCTTGCAGATAGTCAGAGGAAGTAAACTTGTATGAACTCACCATTGAAACACCAGCCCTCCCTCCCCAAACCCTTAGTTTAGCTCTCAGTCCAAGGTGTGACTCCCATTCAATTTCAAGTGAGCAGGCAGACTTGCAAGCTAGATATGATCTATAGGGGTCACACGCCAGAAATCAGGAGTCTACCTCTAGGGAACAACTTGCTGAGAGAGCCTTCACGGTCCTCGGTATCTGAGACGGCTAAGCGAAACCTTCACAGAAGCAAGTGCGCGCTTTCAATAATTTGCTAGCATGTACCGTACCAAATGTCAATGGATTCAAGAGGGATTTAGGTTTTTATAATTTGCCATGAACTTTTCTCTAAGCCTTTTCCCAAACACAGTGTGAACCTTACCTTGAACTGTGATATTTAGCAATTCATGTTGAAACTTCAGTGCTTATTACAAACGCGCTCAACGACAAGGCTGGACCGGTTTCCTAGCTGAGAGCTCCTCACAGCTTTAACGGTAGGGCAGGGAGAAAACCCACATTGGATTCTATCTTCCCAGCCTTGGTTCGCACGCCCTGGTGAGGAGACTATTTAAAGTCTGTCCTCTAATGAGGTTCATTAGATCACAAGGAACTAAGGGAGCAACAGCTGGGTTTCTGGGAAGCTGAAGAATGGGATTCTGAGCTGCAAGTCTCCTTTGGATGCGAACCCTACTCATTAATGATGGTGGCAAAGCAACTTGGAAAAACGTAATTGGGAGAGCCTGTCACCACTAAAAATAGTCTTGGAACAAAACAAGAAGAAAGCCTATCTCCATGCTAGTCTCCCTTCTAGTCTCCAAAAATGGATTCATTAGCTTTTTATCTGTCCCTACCACTGGACACATGTCCACACTCACCAACCACAGTCCTCTCAGAACTCACGGGGGGTGGGGTGGTTACACAGTTCAGGTGCTAAGCTGAGTGCTCCTGGAAGACCCTGCTGAGTGCTCCCTGTTAATGCTCTCTTTCTACTACAGCCATGGGCGACACTGGCTCCCCACTGCCCATAGGCAAGCTTCTTTTTCCTCTCTACAAGAATTCATAGGGAAATGTACTTTGAAGGAGGAACCTGGGGGCATGTGTTTTATCCTACTATGAGGCCAGCATCCCTGCCAGCAGCGTGAGTACTTAAACAAGCTCAAATGTTGATACATCCCACAGCTGTAGTCAATAATGACTACACACATGATTACATGTAGCTTACAATGACCGGGAACAGCCACGAGCACTGCGCTCAGCTGTCGATGAGAAGAAGCAGGGCATGCTCAGAGACGGGAAGATGGTTGTTTCTAAACATACAAAGGTGTGATGCTGGGCGACGGTTATGATCTGACACTGTCTGTTAAGTCTGAAGGCCTCATCCAAAATGAGGATGCTCACGATGGAATTTGGCTGCCCGTGCCCCAGAGAGTAGACCTTGGAGCTATGGCTGTGTCTCTCAAGTTCAGGGCCATGATGCACAATGTCTAATAATAGATGGAGTAACAGTACTACTCAGGCAGAAGGGCGGAATGGCTGTGCAGATTCCTGTGGCTGGATCTTGCCAGGGGTTTAGCTGTCAGTTCACACAGGTCTCTGGTTAGCAGTGGGAACCCAGAGAAGCCATGCAGAACCTTAACTTGGCCAAGGTCAGCTTTCAGAGAAGCCATAATGAGTAGTTAGGAACTGGGGGCAGTCTAGAACATGTGTGATGCTCTCTATATACTGTTTTAAATATCCAGTTTGGCTACTTATATATATTTATATATAATTTAAAGTGTAAAGGCTTCTGAATCATGTATCTCTACAATAAACATGTTTCTTACTTTCAAATATAAATAACAAGAAGTGTGAGACAAAAGCATGCCGACTTCTCTGTTGCGTGGGTATCCTGCCCACCCTGCGAAGGAGGGGAAACTCCAGTGGGAAGATCTCCCGGGCTATAGAGAACTTAGGACCACTTGGAGTGAGAAGGTGAACTCCATGAAGCTGGGGAACTCAGATGATCTCAGGGTGCTGTGGACGTGCTTGGGGGTGGCCAAGAGTCTTTTTTTCTTCCTGGGTTAAAGGACCAGCAAAGTAGGAAACTTATCATCCAGGCTCCAGAGAAGACACATATTGGAAAGTAGAAGGTTCCCTTCTCATCTCACGGTCTGGCCATTTTGAGATAAGCCACAGGTAACCGAAGCCTGATAAATTACAGCTCCATTGCTATGCCCATGGTTTCCATGACAACACACTGGGCGATGCTGTTGATTCAGTCTCAGCACCAAATGGAAACAAGGGTTCCTTCTATAGGGAAGCAGCCACAGGCTGACAAACTGGGCTTAAGAATATGTGTCATTTTAAGGATTTTTAATGAAGAAACAAAATGGTGTTTGAACTTCCTGGGGTTTTTATGTACACATTTAAAAGAAAAGTATATCAGTATCAGCATTGATCTTGTGTTTCTTCTGGGTCTATGTGGGTAAAATAGGGACTATAGGAAATAAAGAGAATTTAAGTTACAATAAATGGGAACTTCATAAGAAATGGTAATCCAACACATTCAGTGATTTCTCTAGGTTCTAGAAAATGAACATCATAAGGTCCTATTTTTTTTTTTTCATCCCCGTTTTCGAAGGATAAGACCTAGGTGGTTTGTAGTCCTCAACAGCCATTGACTGTTTGTTCTGAGAGTTTAGAGTGGCTTTTGAGTGAGGAGATGGTAGTCAGACTTGATTCCCAAAATTTGTTATAAAGAGAAGTAACGTTAGATACTGAACTAAAGCTGACTCTTGGTGACAGCCAGTGACACGGACAGCCATGAGAACACAAGGATGCAGATGTGGAAGAGAAATGCTGAGACAGAATTTAAGTGAGTGTGTCCATTTCTGTTCCTGCATCGCTGCCACTGAACCTCTGAGCCCTGTGCTCATGACAAAAGCCCAAGGCTCCAGGAGGCCCTAGCATCCCTGCAGAGTCCATAGACGTACCTCTGTCCAGCTGCTAGACTGCTAACTGCCTGGGTTTTGTATACTGCCACTAAAACTGTATACTTAGAGAAGTCCAGACCAGGCTTCGAGGACCCAGCCACACTCATGCAGCATGTCAGAAGGAAACTCAAAAGGACACTCTTAGAAATATCATTTTCCTAGAAAACAAATCCCTATTGTTCATAAAAAACCCTACATGCTATTTATATTAGCATGGAAGAGACTTGCTATCATTTTATGTAAATTAATGTGTATTTATATCTTCTCAATTTTCAGGAAAATTGTTAAATATTTTAAAAGCTTTAGCAGCTTCAATTTATAATATAGGAAAAGATAAACTCCTAGAAATCCTGAAGTTTTCTTCCCTGGCCACAGACATCCTGCGCAATCCCCAGGGCTTCCTTCGTTCCGACAGAGCTGTGGCCAGTTTATGCGTCAGTTCATCTTCGGTTACAAGGGTGAAATTGACAGGGTGAGGCTATTCTGGTGATGAGGTGAGCCTTTAAAGAGGCCACATGGCTCCTGTCTTCTGAGAGATGGAAACCATTAAGCTTGAGAGGGTGAAGGACACATGTTAGAAACTGAAAGTGGATCCCATTACCTGAGACACGGCCATAATCACAAGGACGTTTATTTTACCCGTGAGTGTGAACAGACAGCTAGGTTTGACCAGGCAGCTTCAGGTACAGGCAGGACTACAGCAGCACCATAATGGCAGCTCTGGGGGAGGTACCAGCCAGAGGAAAGACACAGACCCTATGGATCCATCTAATGTTACGTGCTAAACCTGTGAGCCCATCCTGTGTTGCTTACAGAATCTGTGGACCCATTCAATGTCAAACAGAGACACTATTGACCCATCCAATGGCATATAAAGAACTTGTGGGCACATCTAATATTACACGTAGAACCCATGGGTTCATCCAAAGTCATTCTGAGACCCTCTCGGCCCATTCAATGTCATGTAGAACCTATGATCCCATTCCATGTCATGTACATATACAACCTGTGGGCCCATCCAATGTCAGACAAAGAACTCCTCTGTGTCACATGGACCTACTGCATTGGGGATAACTGCTTGGCAACAGATACAGCATCTCAGGTAGAACCGACTGCACTGTAACCCTGATAACAGCTTTCGAAGTTGGGTATTTTTTCCACACAGTGGGAAGACACTGGAGGATATTCTGAACTCCTGGGTTCTGGTGTTATTTCAAAGGATTAGCAACCACAAACAAGGTCTAGAATGCTGGATGATACCATAACCTGTCACAACGAGTCACGGGTGTCTGCTCTGATCTATCTATGTTTCCAAAAAGAAGGAGTTTCCAAAAATTTGCAAGCTCTTTTGCAAATGCAAAAAAAATTTTCCAAAATAGATAAATAGAGAGAAATTTGATATTAACAGTGGTACTTTTAATGAGAGTGGCCTCCACAGGCTCATAGACTTGACTACTTGGTCCCCAGTTGGTGAAACTGTTTGGGAAGGTTTGGAAGGTATGACCTGGAGGAGGTGTGTCACTAGGGTGGGCTTTGAGGTCTCAGAAGCACATGCTCTTCCCAGTTAGCTCTCTGCCTCCAACTTGACAGTTATGATGTGAGCTCCAGCTGCTGAACCAGCACCAGGCTTTTGCTTCACAGTCACAGACAAGAACCCACCGAAACCATAAGCCTTATTAAGTTTCTTTTATAAGTTGCCTTGATCACAGTAATTTGTCACAGCAATAGAAAAGTCACTAAGACACTAACAGTGTCTACCTTTTTAGGTGACTGAAACACTTTCAGCTGGGTCACCAGGGGAAGGACACGGCTCCCTGGAAGCTCTCCCTTCCTGGACATGCTTTGTCTTCTTCCCACACAGATTCCAAAGCATGCCCCCATGGCACTTTGGATCCCTGAATGATATCTGGGTAAACACTCTATCTTTAGAAGACAGCAAGGGTGTCAGAGACGTGCGAGAGATAATATGGAGACATCGCCAGTGGGCTCTCCTGGCTAAGACAACGTCAACTTGAAATTCAGTCATGACCAAAGCAAACCAAGGTTTCAGGTGGATTCTCCTGATTCTAGAAAATGCTGCGCATCTACGGTAGTGTGCAAAGGAGACACATTGTAGCACGTGACACAGGGCTCATATCCAGTCACATGGGGCAGCGGGTAGTCACCAGTGTGCACAATGTGTTTGTGTCTGGTGGGAAGTGACGACAGTGGCTGTGTGGTTCCTAGCAGGGGCCGGATGGGGTTGAAGAGCAAGGGCCCTGTGTGCATCAGGACAGCTAATTTCCAGAACCTCGGGGTAAAGCCAGAAGCACAGTACCAGGGCATCAGGATCTTCTGAGAGGCACCTTGCTGCTTCTAGGTGTGGTTCAAGCCTCAAGAGAGCTCCAAGTTTGTAAAGATTTACTTGTAGGAGTGAAGTATTCTAGAAAGACAGTTTCAGGTAGGGGCATCAAGCCGACCCTGTCTATCAAGATCCTGCCACAGGCAGACAGAGACACAGTCAACATCCTTAGCTGCAATCAGGTGCATGAGAGTGTATGGAGGGCCTGCTGGACCTACAGGAACCTTCTGTGAACCCCTCAAGGGGGCTAAAATGTCAGAGCCTCCATGCTATTCTCATCCCCTCCTGACAGCCCCAATTTTGCACCCCCAAATCACAAAATGGCTCTAAGGAGCTGGGGAATGTGCGTGGGTGGCATGAGTGTTGGGAGAATGTGGAAGGATTATGGCGGGGGAAATTAGCTGTGGGTTCCCGGCCAGGCATTGGTCACCTGAATGAAGCCGCCATCAGAGCCACCAGGAGCCATCAAAGTCAAACTGTGATGGCACTTTGGGAAAGGTGTCTTTGAGAAGCAGGGCATTGAGGACTTGAATGTCCCAGGCCACTGTTCTTCCTTATCTCTGGGTTCCTGAGAGGAGTTTGTATTACATGAAGCATTAGCATCTGTTGTATTAAAAGTTTAATTAAAATTATTATGTAAAGCAGCTAAATACACACATTCTTTTGTTTTTCTCCTTTTTAGTCTACTGCCATCCATCCCAAGTTGTGTACTGCATAGATCTCACACAGGCCAACTGCTTGTTTCAAAGTCTTGACAATTTCCTGTGTATAATTAGTACAGATTGGCTATCAGAGATGTGCAAATGAGACAGTGCTCTGAACAATGTCAGCTCTGTCTTATTTTCCTATTTATTCATAGTTTACTGTTCGTCATGTACCTGAGAGCATAATAATTTCCCCTTTCTAGACAATCGAGGAGGACAGATATCTTCAGCATAAAAACCTGTTTTCCAAGATCCTAATGAGAAGTTCATCATGGCAGTCACACAGAAGAATAGTTAGCTCTTTAAACATGGGTTTTTATTTGTCTTCAAGCGCAAATGTGAAATATGTGATGATTTTAATATTCTGAAGTTTATAAAATACTGTCATTAAGAAAGACACACAGTGTTGGTTATTTGATCCTGGAGCCCCTGTCTGAGCTTGTCATGCTAACCCACAGGCTCTACTTTAGTCAGCAGGATTATAATGGCGTCCTCACAGGTGAAGCCACCGATGCCGTGACCTGGAGTTGTGTACCTGTTTGTGGCAGGGTTTGCCGTCACTCACCTTTGCATCTGGGTCTGTCTTCCTCCGTGTTCCAGGTCCCATTGGCTTGGCACTGCAAGAGCCTCTGACCCTGCAAGAAGTAGCCAGGGCTGCAGCTGAGGAGAACTTGAGCTCCGTATTCATTCAGTGACCCCGAAACCAGCCTCCAGAGCACATGCTCTGACAGCTGGCCTTCGATGCTGGGGCAGGGCACCGCTGTGAGAGAAACACCCGAGCATCAGTACGGCCTCCTGGCAGACAGCCCTTGCCATAACTGCAGAAGGTAGGGCCTGCAGGTCTATGGAACTCACTGTGGTATGGAACCTGAATGCCCTCAACCCTTGTTTCAGGACTTCTCTGTTTTCCACATAGTCACATGGGAGGGAGCCCAATCCCAGCCTGTGTGTTACTGTCTCATCGCAGATGTGAAGGGGATCTTAGTGGTGGACTGTATTACAACAGGAGGAAATCCATTCCTTTTCTGTGCAACACATACATCCACACACATGCCCTTATTCACACATGGGTACATGAGAACACACCTGCCTTCACACATGTATACCTATACATACATGCACACACATGTGTAAAACCACTTGCATATTCAAATGTATGCACATGTTAGTATACATGCACAAACATACATGAGAATTTATGCACACACTATAGCTGCTTTTACTAGGTTTACAAGCACATAAAAATAGGCACACTACATTACCATTGTTAAAAAAATAGCCAGTATCACAATTTAAGGGAAAGATTTCCCATGATGCAAGGCCAAGAAGACAGAAGTTCCTGAGTGTAGAGCTATGGAAACATTTAAAGAATTTTAAATGAACTTCACAAGTTAAAAGCAAGAACCAGACAGGTGTGGTAACCCATTCCATTAATCCAAGCACTGTGGAGGCAGAGACAATTTTGCAGAGGCAGAAACAGTTCTGCGGAGGCAGAACTCTGTGAGTTCGAGGACGACCTAGTCTACAAAGAGAGCTCCAGGACAGCCAGGCCTGTTGACTGAAACCCTGTCTTGGAAAACCATAGCATTAATCACAAAGGTTCCTCTGCTGATATCTGTCACCAGCAGCCAGCTCCCAGCACAACTTCTGGGCCCATAGTGATCAGCCTTGGGTCCAAAAACAATAGCTGATGTTTTTTTCTAGAGTAACAATAAGAAATGCATTTTGTTTTTAAGTTTTGTTCACATTCATTAAAATTGAATCTGCTGTGTGAGAAGCTACACAATCTCTCCTTCCTATGGCAACTTCTAGTTCTATCTTCTAATAAACTACAAAGAATAAGTGTTTAATATAAGAGTAAAGGCAATGAGGTTAAAAATATGAAGAAATATTGGGTAATTTAAACTCCATTCTTAAGCTTTATGTCTCTATATTTTTGAATGTGTTAAATATTCTGCATGACCATGGATGTATACATGGTTTACTTAACAGTAGAAATTACGTCTTTCTGTCGCTAGGATATGTTTAGCTTTTTAGGCAAGACAACCATCTCCATAAAGCCTTCGGCCATATGAACCCTGAACTCAGCTGGAATGTGACAAAAGGCTTTTCCTTTTGCCAGTGTGTGCTTCTGGAACTAACTTGTATATTCTAATCACCTCCTCTATCATAAGCTTTGCTTCTGCCCAGGGTGGAAAGGGAGTTTTCATCTGGCTAATTCCATCCTCAATAGCAATCCGACAGTCCACAGCTTCCTTGCTTCTTCATGAAAACAGTATTTGTCTTGCTTTTTTTTTTTGTGGTCAGTGGGGCCCTGGTGAGGAGGGGTGAAGAGTAGAGAGTCTGGAGAGATGTTTTTTTAATTGTCTTCTAGCTTGTTTGTGTCTCTTGCTCACTCTCTACTTGGCAACAAGCTTTTTTAAAAAACTGTAACCACTGTATCTTTTCATAGTTTTCCAGCCAAGTCAAGTATAGGTCACACTTAGCTACAGTTGCGTGCGTGCGTGCATGTGCACAGTCTGCCAAGGAACTTGTCATGAAAACAGAATAGCAAAGACATCTACTGAACCACACCGGTAAAAACTGAAGATATGCTTCTCCTTTCTCAGAGGCAATTCCCACTGAGACCACACACAGCCGTGCATAGCATCCTATGTATATGATAGCCAAATGCAATCTATAGACACGGCATGGAAGCCACTAATAATGATTCTCTCTGATAAATGCATAAAACAATGAAACAACATATTGTAGGGAGCCAACAGACCGGCCTCTGTAGAGAAGAGTCACCACAAAAGCTAACACTCTGGGGCTGAAATGGACCACGATCCTGACACCACAGAGGACCCAGATGAGCGGCAAGGGTCTCCTAGGAGGAGAACTGAAGTCTGGGGTGGGCATGAACTGCAAAGCCCATCCTGTCTTTTGATTGCTGAAGAAAGAACACATGTTTTCAGAAACAGGTTTCTACCAGTTTTTAATGTTTTTTTATGTTTATGTTTCTACTGTGGGTTTTATGTTTTCGAAGTTGATCTGTGGGAAAGGCTGTGCAAAGCAAGAATAACTCACAGTTACAGCTGAGTGACGACATACTGGGGCGGTGAACCCCGAGTGGCACATCCTGGGCGGTGGGAAGAAGAGTCCCTGTGTGTGATGGTGAAGGAGGTAGCCTCTGTGATTTGCCTACATCTATACCTGCATTCTTGCAAGTAGAAGCCGTTGTCACACACGTGGGTTACTATGTGAGGTGACAAGAGCAACTGTTCGATGTGGATCCCAAATGCCATAGATAGCTATGAATATGCATGAGTATGTAAAATAAAAATAATTTAAGCCAGGAATTGGAAATCAATCCCCCGAAGAGACATCCTTGCTCATAAACGCAACGCCCGATGATGCACATCTTTAAGGGCCACCCTTTTTGGTTCTGAGTAAGTGCTCATAAAGCATCACGAGATGAGAAAGGAGAGTAATCATCATCATCAACACCATCAACACCATGGTTGTCATCATCACAGTCACCATTACCACCATCATCATCATCCCCGTCACCACCGTCACCACCATCATCACCACCACTGTCATCACCACCATCATCATCACCACTGTCATCACCACCATCATCATCACCACCATCATCACTACCATCATCACCACCACCACCATCACCACCACCATAACTGTATTATCTACATTTCACAGGCAAACAAGAAAGCCGTGTCAGCCAATCCAGGGAAGAACTCCCTCTTGCACAGCACCTCCCTGAATTGTGCTTTCCCTGGCAACACGAAAAGCAAAATTCATCCCACTAATTACTAAAAATAGGCAGACAGCAGGCAACACCTTCAGAAGTTCATCATGGAGGGCACAAATACCACAACAATCAAATATCAAATAAATTGCAAGGTCTCTGAAGGAAGATGAAATGTTGTTATAGCTGAGAAATACAGGAAACCAAGTCTATGGTGTCATGAATTTAATCGGTCCATATATTTGACAATTATGAGAGAATTTTCATCTTGAGTCTATGATAACTATAGACGTAACTTGGTAGAATGTGCTGGTTTCCCCACACACCTAACATCCCTTCTGGTTGCTCTTTTGCAGACAGAAAGGCTCCAATCACCAAGGGGTCATTTTCCCCCTTTCAACGAAGGGAGCATCTGCAGTGGTCCACCTATCCCAAGGGGCTCGACATGGTGAATCTCAAGCACTGTGGTCATGGTTGACACTATTTTTGGCACCGGAACCTAATTCTACCTCTTAAATCAAAAGAGTGGAAAACACAAATAATGACTAGTTCCCATACAACAGACACATTTTCCCAACTGCTGGATGTCACGGAGATGGAGAGAACACATGTATCTGACAGGGGAAATCATGGCTTTCATTTAAAAAAAACTTTTTATTTATTTGCTTATTTATTTGTGTGTGTGTGTGCATGCGTGTGTGTGAGTGTGTGAAGCTGGAGTTATAGGTGGTTGTGAGTCAACACCCCTGGTTGCTGAGAACCTAAATTTGGGTCTTCTGAAAGAGCAGCGTGTGTTCTTAACTTTGGAACTATCGCTCTAGTCCTTGGCTGTCAACTTTAGGGAGAAACCAATTCTGGTTTCTTGAGCCAGGGAAAAGCAGCACAGCAAGCTGCTCCTTCCTGGGGACACTCATGCTATAGTGAGTCTGCCACCAGGAACATAAAGCATTTGCTCTGGTAGTTACAGGCCCTTCTCACGAATCTTCCCTGTTTGTCTAATCAGCCCCTAAGTGTGGAATACAATTGTCTTTTTATTTTCTTTTAACAGAGTTTCCCTGCCTCATACTTGTGTGGGTAAGTACTTCTTATTACCACGTTTAGTTGGAGCACATTTAATTAATTTTAATTTAATTTGTAAAATTATGATTAGATACCTTTGGAGTGAAATAATTTAATCACCCCTGTCTTCGCACTCACAGCTAAAGTGGCGTCTTTGCAGACCACCAGCCGCCTCAGCTGATGGGAGTGAGGGAAATGGGTTGAACCGTGGAACTTCAGAAGCCTAGACAGCAAGGCCATCTGCTAGGCAAATAGTGAATTGACAGATGTTATGATGTCCTTTTAAGTTCTGTGTCTTGTGGTTCATTTGGGTAATTTTCAGTGAGAACATTTCTACAGGACGGGTGGCTGTGGATTTAGAGGGGAGGTACCTTCTCTGGGTCCTTTCTACTTTTTGTGTTTTATGATGAGACCTTGGCACGTGAACTTTCTTCACTGACTGTGTGTCTGATATGCAATCCCAGGCTGCCCCTGTTGAGCCCAGGCTTGGTTTTGCCGTGTCCCAAGCTTGGATGCTTTCAGATCCAATGTGAGGAGTGTGTAGGTCACTCCTTTGGGTGTTGAGTGTCGATTTGGGGGTGGGGATTCCAGTGGGTGGCAAGCAAGACACTGAGCTTTGTGAAGGAGAGCACAGGCACCTTTGCAGGGGTGCTTTAATTTCCGCTCACCATTGGTCTAGTTTATAACAGATTCAGGTTTAAATGTCCTGCACGTAGTTCCTGACATTAGCTCCTCAGACAGATGTTAAATAAATGCGCTTTAAAAACATTACTTTTGCTCCTACTAAACAATGTGAGCCCAGGGCAAACACCAATAACTTAGTCTAACATAGCCTGCAGTCTATTTGGGTTATGACGACAGAGCCACCCTGGGTTTCACTTCCCAGGTGCAAAAGCTACTGGTGTCACAGTACATACTCCGAAAAGACCCTCAGGAGGGTTGGGTGCCCAGAGGAGCCCCAAGGCCCTAGAGGCCTAAGTTTCCCTTCTCCTTCTCCCAGCACAGTGCTAGAAGGTTGCTGAAAAAGAATTGATTGGGAGCAGGGATGGAGTGGGACGTTCTCATGTTCTGTATGGTTGCTGTCAGAATTTGACACTCCTAGGAGACATTCTGCCTCTCTGTCTCCTGCTTCAAAGTGATAGGCAAGACAGTGACCACTGGGACAGCGGTTGCCTGATGCCCAGAAGTCTTCCCCTAGTCTCATCTCCTGGTACCTTCTTGTCTCCTGCCCAATGACTTCCCACAGCGTGAAGGCAGAAAGCTCCCTGTCAAAGTGTAACTGGATGTATTCAGTGTGTCTAGGACTGTTGCGGCTTTTTATAGGGTTTCTACTGTTCATAGGAAAAGGGAATGGTAAGGTGATAAGCAGTCCAGTGGGCAGATATTTTTAACACAAACAGCTTTTTGAAAAAGACTGATTCATTATTTTAGGTGTATTTTCTGTGTGCCCAAATATATGTATGTATACTGCACGTGCGTGTGTGTAGGAGCCATTGGAGGCCAGAAGCGAGTGTTGGATCCCCAGTAGATGCAGTAACAGATGGCTGTGAGCCTCTGGATATGACTTCACCTTGCTTTTTTGTCCTAATGAAGGGTTTGCATCTCATTTAATCGTGAAACATTCTAATGCTTTGCTGGGTGTGGCGCTGAACACTTTTTAATTCCAACATTTAGAAGAGGCAAATGTATCTTTATGAGTTTAAATTCAGCTTGGTCTACATAGTGAGTTCCAGGTTAGCTGGGGCTACAAAAGTGATAACTTAGCTCAGAAATAAAGTGGGGGGGTGGAGAGAGAGTCTGGTGCTTTGCACACAGTAGGTCTTCATAAATGATTAATAATGCGATTCATGAACAGCATCAACTCAGACAATGCCCACAAACTGGAATTGCAGATTAGACATGTGTGTGCGGAGATGGTTGGCTTAATGCCCTCGCCTCCTTCCCAACACATGGCGCACAGTGCAAATCCATCCATCATTTTGCCCAACTATCAAGCCCTGCACATTAATATCACTGGCCCTGACTGGGTATATTGTAGCACCAGCATGAATCTTATCTTCCAACAGCCAGATCCAGTCTCAGGAAAGAATTAAAATGGTAAAATGAGACTCAGAATGTACCCAGGACATCTGTATAGTTACAGGGAGATCCAGATAGAAACGGCTATTTATTCCAGTCTTTAACCAAGCCAGCCCCGAGGTGGAACACAGTGAGGGTGTTTACTGCTCATTTCTAGTGTCAATCAGATCGGAAGCCTTTCTCTTTTATTTACTTTACTTTATTTTTTTGAAGATTTTTCTATTTATGCCGGGACTAATTGAGTCCTGGCCTTCAGCTGCTCTTCCCTGCTAGAGCCTTCTAATTGAAGTTACTAGAAGCTGTGGCTTGCCTAGAGGATCAGAGGATGGGATTTTCACCTGTTGGCCATTGACTGCTGGGTATTTAAGCCTCCATGGTGCTATTAAAGAAGGGCTTTTGTACCAGTGATTGGAGGTCCGTGTGTCTGTCTGTCTCTGTGTGTGTTCCCTCAACCTCCAGCCCCTTGCCCGAAACTCGCAAACTGGATTCTAGTGCATAGAGCGCAGAGGGGGGGGGGGGGAGCGGGGCGTGGCAATTTATGTTTTATTTGCATGAGTGTTTTGCCTACAAATGCTGGTACTACATATATGCAGTACTTGAAGAAGTCAGAAGAAGGCCTTGGATCCCCTGGAACTGGAGTTATGGATGACTGTGAGCTTCATGCGGGTGCTGGAATTCGAATCCCATCTTCTGGAAGAGCAACCAGTACTCTTAACCTCCGTGACATTTTTCTGGCTCTTGTTCATTTTATTTTTGAGATAGGGTCTGACTGAGCAGCCCAGGTTGGCCTTAGTTCACAAAGAGCCATATGCCTCTATCTTCCAAGTACTGGGATGAAACGTGTTCTTTACCATACCTGATAGAGATGCATATCGCCTGGTACTTCACCTACCAATTGTGCAATTTACTACAATTGTTAAGGAAACTTAAAAACTCCTTTGATCCCACGCAGATACAATGGGATTAGCTTGAAAAATATATAGGACTGTATGTATGTATGTATATGCACATATATGTGTATATGTGTGTGTATGTGTATGCACATATGGATATATATAGATACACAATTGTTACCAAAATTTAGCACTCATCGCATTTTCTAAGGATAAAGTTTTGTGTTTAGCATGCCTGATTTCTTCAGTTGTAATTAAGTGTAGGAAATCTCCCCCAAAAAAGTTAAAATGGGTTTTCCCTCACACTCAGCTCTGCTTACTAGGACATCATTTAATATTCACTAACTCTGACCCCTGCTAGTGAAAGGGACACTTTAATTAGCACTGCAGCACTGAGCAGTGTGTCTTACATAGATCCTGGATGACCCAACTGAGAGAGCACCTTCATTTCCCACAGGTTTAAGCAACTGGGATATAAAATGATGTCATATTTAATGGAAAACAACCAAGGAAAATCAGTACAATATTACCACTAACTTAGAACATGGACCTAAAAGCGCAAATGAAAGCAAGAAAAATAAAAGCTGTGGTGAACTGTTAATTACTTTTTATAAACTTTGCAAAGAATTTAATATTTTAACATGACCAACATATTCAGAAAAGAAAAAAGCAAACTAATTGTATAATCAAAGGTCAAGGAAACCTTTGTTATTGAAATATCATCAAAGCAAAACTAACATTTGTATTTCTAAGTTTTGAAACATTGGAAGGGCATATTAATTTAAAGTAAAGATTTTCAATATGTCTGTGACAAAATTCTCATTGCATAACTTATGCTTGCATGTACACATGCATGTGTATACATATGTGTGTTTGTTCATGTGTGTGCACGTGTGTGAGCATGTGCTTGTAATTTCTAAGGTTGGCTTCTCAGTCTGACTTGCGTGCTTGTGTGCTTTACATCAGATTTAAACTTTCCATGCTTGAATCCTTTTCCTTTTCAAAATATTATTTTTAAATAAAATATAATTACACATCCCTCTCCCCTTTATTCTCTTATGTTTGACTCTTGTAAGAACATTGCTATGCACTGAAAACAGCTTTCTAGAAGTCAGAGGAATTGGTGCTTTCTCTGGCAGCCGGTGATATGTATGAGGAGTCCGTGGCACAGACACGAATCAAGCAGCAGCTCTAACTTTGAAAACCTCAAACAGCACATGAGAAATGGTGAGAACAACTCACACTGCTTTACGTTACACACTTTATGCTGAGTGTTGTGCTCCCACTCATTAGCTTCTACTCACACTGAAAATGGTACCAGCGTAAGGTTTGGTGGGGTAAGTTCGGTGTTATAGATTGTCATGGAATTTACTGGGCTAACATCCAGGAATACATAGTCCATTTTAAGTGACTGGAGTGGTCTCTATGGAAATTGCTTGTGTTGTTTGGATGAAAGGAACCAGGTCCTTACAATACTGGGAAGTGTCTGCCTGCTTTCTGGAAGTTAAATTCAACCCTGTTCCCAGTGAACGCAGGTCCCCGTGAAATCTCCAAAGATGTGCAGGTAGACAGAACACTTACGTCTGCACGTGGGTGGCTTCCCTCTGTTGCTCCACAGGCCATCCTCCTGACACACAGCAGTGGCTTGCTGACTGGCATCCAGCTTGAAGCCTTCGTTACATTCGTAAGTCACTTTACTGTCCAAAGTGAACTCATTTCCTGTGAAGGAGCCGTTACCTGGAGCCTCTGGAATTCCACAGGACACAGCTGAAGAAATAAGGAAGAAAACCATGCTCATTCTTAAGGAACTTTATTAAATTTTATCTTGATTTTTTTTATCTCAGAGACAAATTGATTAATTATGTTCTTCAGTTTTGTCAAAGGTACATGCATTTTCGGAATTTCAAGGATGCAGATGTTCAAGAGTAACATTGGAAAGCTTATCAAAATGGAGAAGAGTGGTTCCATGTCAAACACTGTACCAAAGGGACACTAGAGATACCCGGTGATAGCTCTCGGGTATAGGTTAGTAACAGCCCAATTGTTTTGTTGTGTTATTCCTTTTGGTCTCTGGTCCCTTTAAGGGGCAAGCCACACCCACTCCCAGTGACTTCTGACCTCTTGTCGCCATCTTTCTTTCTTTCTGTTTCCTCTCTTGGCGTGTGCACACGGGCTTTCTGTCTTTTCTCTGTTTCTGTCTTTCTTTCTCTCCCTCTCCTTCTCCCTCTCCCTTTCTTTCTCTGCCCCCTCCCCTTTTCCTCCATAACCCCGAATAAATATTCTAATCTCATTTTACATGTCCATGTCTCTGTCTCCTGCCTGCCTTCCCACAGCCAGCTCTGCCACTCGCCACTAGGAATCTGCACCGCTCTGGCAGCCTCTGCCTGGCTTGTGGCTGCTCTGCGAGTCCGCTGCCTGGGTATCTTAGACAGGCCGCTTGGGGGGGCACGAAAGCATCATTTTTTAAGGAATAAAAGTGTGTTTATGTAGCAATCACACACGCTACCTTAGATATCTTTGGGCAGGAGGATGAAGGGTTGGCCGCTTCCTTATCATCAGAACAATGACTTTGAATATCAAGACCCACAAGAATTGGTCACAAGTGCACAGTATCCACCTCCCTTTTGTCTCCACCTTTCCCTACTCATTTCCTTCAACTCAATGGAGGTTATCTTTAAAGGATGCTGTGCTTTGCCTGATTTCACCTGATTACATGATGAGAAATGTGGTTTCAACTGTGTAAACAAAGTGTGCAATCATTAAGAGGTAAGGGCCTCTGGAGGTTCTCATTCTGAAAGCAATTGCATTCTCCCGAGACCCAGGATAGTTCTCAAAGAGCTAACAAAACTGTTGGAAGAACAAGTCAGAGCTGAGTAGTGACACATACCTCTAATCCTAACACTGGGGAGGCAGAGGTAGGTGGGTCTCTGAGTTCAAGAGTAGCCTGGTCTACAGAGTGAGTTCCAGGATAGCCAAGGCAACAAAGAAAAATCCTGTCTTGAAAAACCAAAAGAAAAGAAAAGAACAGAAAAGAAAGAAAAGAGAAGAGAAGAAAATAAAAAAAGAGAGTTCAAGTTCACTGGATTCTTGACCCAACATGTGATCATTTTCTCTCAAGAAAGGTCCTACCATGACGCTTCCTGATGTTTAGGAGCACCTCACCACCGATGACACCACACCTCTGGGACATTTAAGAGTCCAGAATTGTGAGCTGGTAGGACCTCTTTTCTCATAAATTTCTTAGCACTGGGAATTTTATTATACAATAAAAATACAATACAAAGGAGGCTGGTATAAATGTAAACAGATTTCCTATGATCACCAGGGCATCTATCAGCATGAGAGCTAACATCTTCTGAATTACCCAGAAAGATCAAATTAAAAGCAGTCCTCTGACCAATATGCATGTGCACGCACACACATTGCTGAATAGTTATTTTTAGATCAGAAACTTTTAGAAAACACAAACTCTGAAATTTTTTGTGCTGGCTTTTATTTTTGACAACTTCATACATATGCACGGTGTGTTAGATGTTTACCCCATTACACTCTCATCACCCCCTAATCCTACTGAAACTATTCACAAACAGCCTCACTTTCTTCTCCTTCTTCTTCATGGACCACTGATTTTCACTGGGGTTGTCATATGTGTAGGTGAGGGGACAGTCACAGGCAAGGCAACCTGCCATGGGCTACACCACTGAGTAAAATTTCTCCTTTTGTCTCAGCAGTCTTTAATCCTCTATAGTCTTGCAGGAAAGACTGGAGTCTCATCAGCTCCTCTCCCATCCATTGTGGAATATACTGAAGGATCCACTCTTATGTAGGTCTTGTTCTGGAAGCCATAGCTGGTGTACGTTCAAAAGCTTTGCCATCTCTAGAGGACTTCTGCCCCCCACCTACAACTTTTACACCCTTTCTGCTTTCTATTTCATGATTTCAATCACCTGAAGTATCTGTCTCTTGTATAATACAATATTAACACATGGTGGGATATTAAAAAACAAATGCCGTACTTATGTGTAACCATCACTTTGGGAGAGGTCTTCAAATAAACAATAATCCAAGATTTTCCATAGCACTGTTCTTTCAAGATGACCTATTGACAGATAGGTTATCAACTGGAAGACTAAGGGGCCTTTGTAAAATGGCTATCTTTAAGAAATCTAGGAAATGTCACAGATTTTGTCCTTTTTACAATTCTCTTTATATTTATATTGCCATTTCTTTGTCCCCACCATATACCTCTCTGTTTCTCTCAACCATGTATCTATCCTTTGAATCCTAACTTGCCCTCCACTTCACTCCACACACTGTGCCCAGCCTTCGCTTCTCTTATGATTCTTACTTGTGGGCAAGCATGGGACGAAATGTCGTCTCCGGCAGGTTAAGTGGGAAAAGAGAACATCCCACAAGCTCACAGGAAATGCTTCCCATTAATGGGGTTCTTACCCAGGGGGCCAAGATCAACTGGCTCACAGACGATTCTGTTCAATCTAAAATCTTTCAAATAAAAGTGAACTCTGCTTAGGAGGCCTCTGGAGACTCTGCCCTACGTAGTCTGTACAGTAATGAGCAGTCTGTGCTGAGATTTGGACTACAGTTTCTATCCCTGGGAGAGTGGTCATTAAAGGCACTGGGGTGAGGGGCACTTCTGACGCTCACCAGCCTTCAGTGATTTTTAACTCTGTTCAACCCATGGGGTTTTATGGCTACGACTCTGAACTTAAGCCAGTATCATTTTCCATATTTAAGCCACGAGTTAAGAATAAACGTTCCTGCTCCATCACTCTTTTGAAAATACCTACTATGGATTTAAAACACCAACTGCTGGGTTTGAAGAACCTAAATTTACTGAAATGAACATCAGGGAAGACTTGACAGTGGATTTCTCAGAATCCTCTTGTCAGCATCGACAGAAGTGAGACAGACCTGGTCCCAAAATTCAGAGGAGGGAAGTCTAACCTGGAACATTCCCAGAGCCAGTCATGTCCTTAGTCCTACTGCGCCTCTGAACTTCCACAGATGAGACACTCCAATGGTACTAGCCACAGACTCAGAAAGTTGTATGAACGGAGAGGGTTTTAGACATCACACTATTATATATCAACATTGTTATCTTTACCAATAGTGTATTGGGCATCCCCTGATAAAGACCTTAGGACAGTGGCAATGTGTTTCATATACATTATCTCATTCAACACTTAACACAAACAGAGAGTTAGAATCAATCACTACTATGCATTACTCCCGAGGAGCATAGATGATAGAGATATTGTGCCCTTACCTGAATTCTTTTGTCATTGTTAAGATTTCTTTCTTTTTTTTTTATTTTATGTGCACATATGTCTGGGCACCATGTATGTACCTGTTAGTCATGGAGGCAAGAAGAGGGTGTCAGGTATCCTCGAACTGGAGCTATTGATAGTTGTAAGCTGTCATGTGGGTGCAGGAAACTAAACCTGTGACCTCTGAATGAACAGCTAGCATCGTTAGCAACTTTAACCTCCAAGCCATCTCTCCAGTCTCCCTTACCTGAATTCTTACCACCAATTCAAAACTGTGACAGTGTATCGATCTTAGGTAGTGATGCCTCTTGCTTTCTGACCCCAGAATACTACCCAGGATGTTCAGGTTTGTTTTCCTGTCTAATATTCAGACATCAGGAGTCCGCCAATCAAATGACCAACAGCGTAAAAGTAAGTTTTCACAGCACAATTCTAAAAACAAAGCACAATCACTTGTGCTAATATTCCAGAGGCTTCTTTGCCCATTCTCCTCTCTATCTGAGATTTCTCAAGTCTCCTCCTTGGGTAATTAGTGATGAATCACCCCTGTACTTAAACCTTTACTGCATCTCAGTGCAATCAATACCAATGGAGCATGAGGCCACAAAGGAAAACCACAGCAGGTGAAGAGGACACGACAGAGGCCCCCGAGGCTGGTGCTCGCCTAGTGCTGGGCAGTGCTTCTGCTCATTTGCCATGGCAGTGTGATGTCAGGAATCTGCAAGGACACAGGCTAGCCTGGGCAATATACTTCCATTTGTTATAATGGCTGATGGTGGCTACTGAGAGCAAGGATAGATGGAGGGAACCAACAGCTGGGTTTGAAGGACCTAAATTAAGCAGATGAACACTTTAAAGTCACGGGCCGCGCAAAATGGTCAGCTGTACAGGAGGATAGACCAGAATGTTCCAAGCCTCTTAAAAACATTTAGCACAGGATATCCCAAAGACAGAAGGAAAACAAACAGAAACTAACATAAAAGCATCATAAATGTGCCCCTTTAGTGCCTTCTTACAAATGACTAACGACAAAGACTCTGGCCTCATCTTGCAATCTCCAGGACATTTGTTTAGGAAGCCCATGTGTGTAACCCAGCTGTAAAACAAAACAGGTTTGCCCACCGACATGAACAAAGTCACTAAGGAGGTATAGGTACCGAAGTTGGAAAGTAATAGTCATTTCTTCAGAACACAGAGCAAGTTTTGGTTCCGAAAAAGGACTGTCTAAAGAACGATAACCAAAGGAATTTAATACATAGGTGGGCACTCTGAGTTCAAGCTCTGAATCTGACGTCTCTGGGGTTGTTTCCCAGAGATCCTTGCCCCAAGAGCAGTAATAACTCATGTGTGGGGTAGATGTATGGTTCGGGTAGGTGGCTTCCGTGAGGTGGTGAGATGATCAAAGACTGTAATATGGATCACCCAGAGGTACACACTGGTCCTGCTAACGTCTAGGGGTCTAAAGCTATTTATCTCTTG